GCTTGGGCAACAGATCAAGACCCTGTCTTTCAGGAAAAAAAAAAAAAGCCTGGGTGTGGTGATTCACACCTGTAATCCTAGCACTTTGGGAGGCCGAGGCGGGTGGATCACCCTGAGGTCAGAAGTTTGAGACCAGCCTGGTCAACATGGTGAAACCCCATATCTACTAAAAACACACACACACACACACACAAATTAGCTGGGCGTGGTGGTGCACACCTGTAGTTCCAGCTACTCGGGAGGCTGAGACAGGAGAATCACTTGAACCTGGGAGGCAGAGGTTGCAGTGAGATGAGATCATGCCTGCACTCCAGCCTAGGCAACACAGTGAGACTCCATCTAAACAAAACAACAAACAAACCAGAAGAGGCAAGGTAAGCAGGTTTGAGATTACCTAGTTTGAATTTCAGCAGGCTCTGGAGCATAAAGGTTGTCCTGAGTTTTTGGTACCTGGCCCGGGGGTAATTAGCACAGGTGGATGATGGCTCAGGGAACCTGTGCTCATAAAGGTGTGGATGGGGTGTGGGCTCTGGATTGGCTGGTTTACATAGGAAAGGTGAGTAGTTGACTATCTCTAGCATTTGGGGTTGCTGGAGTGGGGATTTAAATCAGATTTAGTATGTCATAACTTAGTCCACAAGGAAAAAAAAATCAGATTTAGGCTGGGAACTGTGGCTCACACCTGTAATCCCAGCACTTTAGGAGGCCAAAGCAGGAGGATTGCTTGACGCCAGAAGTTCCCAGAACAACCTGGGCAACATAGCAAGACCCCATCTATGAAACAAAGTGTTGCTCTTTCATCAAGGCTCGAGTGCAGTGGCACAATCATGGCCTCTACCTCCTGGGCTCAAGTGATCCTCCCACTTCAGTCTCTGGAGTTTCTGGAACTACAGGCACACACCACCATGCCCAGCTAATTTATTTATTTAGAGACAGGACTTCACTCTTGTTTCCCAGGCTGGAGTGCAATGGCACGATCTTGGCTCACTGCAACCTCCGCCTCCCAGGTTCAAGCTATTCTCCTGCCTCAGCCTCCCAAGTAGCTGGGATTACAGGCACACACCACCACACCAGGCTAATTTTTTGTATTTAGTGGAGACGGGGTTTCACTATGTTAGTCAGGCTAGTCTCAAATTCCTGATCTCAGGTGATCCCCCGGCCTCGGCCTCCCAAAGTGCTGGGATTACAGGTGTGCACCACCATGCCCAGCCATTTTTGCATCTTTTATAGAGGACAGGGTTTCACTATGTTGCTCAGGCTGGTCTTGAGCTCCTGACCCCAAGTGATCCTCCCACCTCAGCTTCCCAAAGTGCAGGGATTACAGGTGTGAGCCACCACACCTGGCCCGGAGACTTTCCTGACTGTATCGCTCTCCATATTAATCTGTCCCCATATCTGCCTGACTCAGGTCACTCTGTCCCGGTTCTGTCTTCATATCTCTTATGTTCTCTGTCTGATTTGCCCTCTGACTGTTCTCTCTTCCCTGTCTCTGTCTCCAACTCCCTCCTGCCCTTTATCTCTGATGCATCTGTCATCCCTTTCAGTCTCCGCGCTCATCTCTCTGTGTCTCAGGCACTCTTTCAGCTTCTGCCAGGCACACCGCCTGCCCCCATTGCACCTTCTCCATCTCGCCTGCGTCCAGAGGGGGCAGTGTTGAGCTGAGGGTGCACTTGGTCCGTGCACTGCCCCAAGGAGTCAGGGCCAGGAAGCGGGCTTGGTGGGGTGCGTGTCTGAACCTCAAGCCTGATGGAAAGTCTTCCCTCCTGCACTGCCGACCGCCGGCATCCAACCCTTCACCAAAGACTTCAGCCCTCCCTCCTGCCTCAGGAAAACCAGGGCTGGACCGAGGGGGATCAGATGGGGAACCCCAAGGAGCACCTTCCTGCTCTCTCCCGATCTCAACAGAAGGTGGATATTTACATCGTGAGGCCTGAAAAAGACCACCAACATCAAAATACCAAAATTACTAATGTATCTTACAAACATATTCCCTCCCCAGAAGGGTATAGTCATATTCATTGTGTAGACTGAAAAAAAATATTTCTCCTCCTCCTTCCGCTCTTTTTCCTTCCTTCCTTCCTTTCCTTCCTTCCCCTTAATTTTTTTTTTTTTTTTTTTTTTTTTAAATTTGAGATGGAGTATCGCTCTTGTTGCCCAGGCTGGAGTGCAATGCTGCGATCTTGGCTCACTGCAACCTCCACCTCCCGGGTTCAAGTGATTCTCCTGCCTCAGCCTCCAGAGTAGCAGGGATTACAGGCGCCCGCCACCACGCCTGGCTAATTTTGTATTTTTAGTAGAGATGGGGTTTCTCCGTGTTGGTCAGGCTGGTCTTGAACTCCCAACCTCAGGTGATCCACTGGTCTCGGCCTGCCAAAGTGCTGGGATTACAGGCGTGAGCCACCGCGCCCGGACTCCTTCCTTCCTCCCTCTTTCTTTCTTTCTCTTTCTTTCTTTCTTTCTTTCTTTCTTTCTTTCTTTCTTTCTTTCTTTCTTTTTCTTTCTTTCTTTCTTTCTTTCTTTTTTCTTTCTTTCTTTCTCTTTCTTTTTCTTTCTTTCTCTTTCTTTCCTTCTTTCTTTCTCTTTCTTTCCTTTCTCTCCTTCCTTCTCTTTTTCTTTCTTTCTTTTTCTTTCTCTTTTCTTTCTCTCTCCTTCCTTCCTTCCTTCCCTCCCTCCCTCCCTCCCTCCTTCCTTCCTTCTCTCTTTTCTCTCTTCTCTCCTCTCTGTCTCTCTTTTGAGTTTCACTCTGTTGCCCTGGCTGGAGTGCAGTGGTGAGATCTCAGCTCACTGCAACCTTCACCTCCTGGGTTCAAGCAATTCTCCTGCCTCAGCCTCCTGAGTAGCTGGGATTACAGGTACACATCACCGCTCCTGGCTAATTTTTGTATTTTTAGTAGAGACAGAATTTCACCATGTCAGCCAGGCTGATCTCGAACTCCTGACCTGAAGTGATCCACCCCCCTCGGCCTCCCAAACTGCTGGGATTACATGTGTGAGCCATAGCACCTGCTTGCCTCAGGATCTAATTGTATCTTTTCAATTTTCTTTTTTTTTTTTTTAGACGGAGTCTCACTGTTGGCAGGCTGGAGTGCAGTGGCGCAATCTCGGCTTACTGCAACCTCCGCCTCCTAGATTCAAGCAATTCTCCTGCCTCAGCCTCCCAAGTAGCTGGGACTACAGCTGCGTGCCACCATGCCTGGCTAATTTCTGTATTTTTAGTAGAGACGGGGTTTCACCACATTGGCCAGGATAGTCTTGATCTCTTGACCTCGTGATCCACCTGCCTCAGCCTCTCAAAGTGCTGGGATTACAGGCGTGAGCCACTACACCTGGCCTGTACCAATTATATTTTGAAGTGACTTGTTAATGCCGTCTTGGGAGCAGGACGCTTTCTGATACATGATAGGTGCACAGTACATATTTGTGGGCAGTCTGGGGAAAATACTATAATATTGGGATCTATAAAATCATTGTAAAATTTGCCTTTTTCTTTTTCTTTTTTTTTTTTTAGACCAAGTTTGGCTCTTGTTGCCCAGGCTGCAGTACAATGGCGTGATCTCAGCTCACTGCAACCTCCATCTCCCAGGTTCAAGCGATTCTCCTGCCTCAGCCTCCCTAGTAGCTGGGATTACAGGCATGTGCCACCACGCCTGGCTAATTTTGTATTTTTAGTAGAGACAGGGTTTCACTATGTTGGCCAGGCTGGTTTTGAACTCCTAACCTCAAGTGATCCATCCGCCTCAGCCTCCCAAACTGCTGGGATTACAGGTGTGAGCCACTGCGCTCAGCCAAAGTTGTCTTTTTGATTCAGACTTGTAACAGGATTCCATCTACTCCTAAGATTTTTTTTTTTTTTTTTTTTTTGAGATGGAGTCTCACTCTGTTGCCCAGGCTGGGGTGCAATGGTGTAATCTTGGCTCACTGTAACCTCCGCCTCCCAGGTTCAAATGATTCTCCTGCTTAAGCTTTCCAAGTAGCTGGGACTACAGGTGTGCACCACCACCTGTGGCTAATGTTTTGTATGTTAAGTAGAGACAGGGTTTCACTATGTTGCCCAGGCTAGTCTCGAACTCCTGACCTCAGGTGATCCACCCGCCTTACCCTCCCAAAGTGCTGAGATTACAGCCACCATCACTGGCCTAAGATATACTTTGGAGTTCATGTGATACTCACGTAATAAACTCTCAGAGAACCTTTTCTCCCATCCCCAAAGTCATAATTGTGTTTATTTATTGAAGAGTCGGGGTCTCACTAGGTTGTCTAGGCCGCAGTGCAGTGGCTATTCACAAGTCCAATCATGGTGCACTATTGTTCCGAACCCCTGGCATCAAGCAGTCCTCCCACCTCAGCCTCCCTGGTAGCTGGAAATACTCCACTCTATGACTGTGTTCACACTGGTGATTAAATACAAATTATTCCTTTGGTGACTGTGTAATGATGAGCTGCCAAATTAACTGACCCTGGAGCTGGGCCACTTCCGGTCTTGTGTGATACGTATGATCATGGTCTTTGAACCCGTTCATTTCTTTTTCTTTTCTCTTTTCCTTCCTTTCCTTTCTTTTTTCTTTCTCTCTCTCTTTTTTTTTTTTTTTTTTTTGATGGAATCTCGCTCTGTCACCCAGGCTGGAGTGCAGTGGCGCCATCTCGGCTCACTGCAACCTCCACCTCCTGAGTTCAGGTGATTCTCTTGCCTCAGCCTCCCGAGTAGCTGGGATTACAGATGTGCACCACCACGCCTGGCTAATTTTTGTATTTTTAGTTGAGACAGGGTTTCACCAGTTTGCCAGGTTGGTCTTGAACTCCTGACCTCAAGTGACCCACCTGCCTCAGCCTCCCAAAGTGCTGGGATTACAGGTGTGAGCTACCACGCCAGGCCACTGTTCATTGAGATTTCTGTTACTTGCAGCCCAAAACATCTTCACAGAAGAGAGAAGGGTCCTCCTCATGGAACCATGTGCTTCTCATGCCCTGGCACTCACCTTGAGGGAGCCAGAGAAGGAGAAAGGATATCAAAGGACTGGCCAGCATTAGTGCTTGAGTAAGGGGGACAGGTCTGCGGCGATCCCCGTCCACTCTGGCAGGAAGGCTGCCTCTGGTTTAAAGATTTTGAGGAAAGGGGAGTTGGGGAGGGTGTAATTGGCCAGGTAGATGGTATCTCCGCCCGCGAGGTAGGCAGCCCAGATCCCGAACGTCCCGATGGTCATGATGGTGTGGTTACACTGTGTGAGTAGTGCAAAATCTTTGGCAGGTGAGCCCTCAATGCCATCGCCAGCAAACACCACATCACCGTGGGAGGTGTCAATGTTCTCCCGACACCAGGCCATGCCATTACTGGTGACCACAAAGATGGGGGAGCTGTAGCGAGCTCGGAACATGTCCAGGGCCTGCTGTAGGTATCGCCGGTCGGCCACCACCCCCTTCCACACTTTTGGCATGACATGGACATAGTCCCCTCGGCGAACATGGACCCCTACAAAGGTGCCCGGCCGGCTCCCGTTCACCTGCAGGCCCCGCAGGAACTTCTGGGCCTCCTCGCGCACGTGGTCGTGCAGGGTGAACTCCTGGAGGATCTCGTGGCGGAGGTGGTGGTAGAAGGTCCAGGAGCAGGGGTAGCCCGTGAGGCGGACATACTCCCCTGGGATGTGGCGGTACTTCTCCTCCATCCAGTCGTTCAGGTGGTAGTTCTGCCAGGGGATCCTGCTGGCCGTGGTGCTGTGCAACACCGGCAGGGTGATTTTGAAGATGGGGGCCAGGGTGCTGTGCATCTGGGCCGGGATGAAGGCAGGCCGCCCGTTCATCTTGGCCAGGGCGTACAGCGTGGCGTACTCACCCATCTGGTTCCCCAGGCGGCCTATAGCATTGATCGTCCATATCCCCCTGAGCTGGCTGGGTTGCAGTGCCTCTGATGTTGAGGCCAGCCCTGGTATCTGCACCGATAACTCCCACATGGCTTGAAACTTCGCTAGCCGCTGCTGAATGTGAAATATAGTGGAAACCGTAAAAACAAAGAGGATGAAGTGGGCCATGGAAAAGGAGAAAGGCATCTGAATGACCAGCATGGCTGTCAGGGGAGGAAAACAGGACATGTTAGCTGAGAGATGGAGGCCCGGGGCGCGGGTGAATGTGGCCATGCGGTCATGCGCAGGCATTGCATGGGTGCATGTGAGTGTGCCTTTATTTCGGGTGGGTAAATACTTGGCACATACTTGCCTATGTGCATAGGCCTGTATCTCGAGTGTGTTTATACAGATGTGTCTACATTGTGTTCACTGGTGGGTGTGTATACACAGATGGATGTGTACACATTGTGTGTAATGTGGATCTGGGGATCTATACATTGTATACATATACAGGTGTGTGCAAAATTGTGTGTGTACATATACAGCTGTGTACAAATGGACATGTGTACATGGTAGTGTATGGGTGTAGATACATTGTATACAGATAAGGGTATATGTGTAAGTATGTGTATATATGTCATCTAGGTAGCTGTGAACACAGCATGTGTGTATATGTGAATGTGTATATATAGGAGGATGTATATATACTTTGTGTATCTATACCTTGTATGCATTTTTGTTTGGTTTTATTTATTCATTTATCATTTATTTTTTGAGACAGGATCTTGCTCTGTCACCTGGGCTGGAGTGCAGTGGTGAGAATGTGGCTTACTGTAGTCTTGACCTCATAGGCTCAAGCAATCCTCCTGCCTTAGCCTCCTGAGTACTTGGGACTACAGGTGCACATCACCACGCCCAGATAACTAAAAACAAATTTTCTAGGCCAGGCGCGGTGGCTCAAGCCTGTAATCCCAGCACTTTGGGAGGCCGAGACGGGCGGATCACGAGGTCAGGAGATCGAGACCATCCTGGCTAACATGGTGAAACCCCGTCTCTACTAAAAAATACAAAAAACTAGCCGGGCGAGGTGGCGGGCGCCTGTAGTCCCAGCTACTCGGGAGGCTGAGGCAGGAGAAGGGCGTGAACCCGGGAGGCGGAGTTTGCAGTGAGCTGAGATCTGGCCACTGCACTCCAGCCTGGGCGACAGAGCGAGACTCCATCTGAAAAAAAAAAAAAAAAAAAAAAAAAATTTGTTTTGTAGAGATAAGGTCTCAGTATGTTGGTCAGGCTGGTCTCAAACTCCTAGGCCCAAGTGATCTTCCCACCTTGGCCTCCCAAAGTGCTGGGATTATAGGTGTGAGCCACTGCACCTGGTCTACACTGTATGTTTAAGTGTTTAAATGTGGGTGTTTATCGACTGAGTGTACATATGTGGATGTCTACATATGGTGAGTACAAGTATATGTAGCTATTATTTACTGCTGATCCAGTTTGTAGAGATGTTCATTTTTTTCTTTTTTTTTTCTGAAATGGAGTCTCACTCTGTCACCCAGGCTGGAGTACAATGGCACGATCTCTGCTCACTGCAACCTCTGCCTCCTGGGTTCAAGCTATTCTCCTGCCTCAGCTTCCTGAGTAGCTGGGATTACAGGCGTGTGACACCATGCCTGGCTAACTTTTGTATTTTTAGTAGAGACGGGGTTTCACCATGTTCGTCAGGCTAGTCTCAAACTCCTGACCCCATGATCCACCTGCCTCAGCTTCCCAAAGTGCTGGGATTACAGGCATGAGCCACCGCGCCCGGTCCGAGATGTTCATCTTTTGTTTTTATTTTCCTACTTGCCAGACTCCAGTGCCAGATATATTCATCTTTGCATGTCCTGCCTGTATCCACTTTGGTGGGAAATTGTCCACCTGGCCTGCCTGCCCTCTTGGCCACAGTCAGTTGAACTTGAGAGGAACACCCAGCTCCACCGTGGATTTTCCATTCATTGGCCATGACATAGTATATGACAAGTGTAGGCTGGCTCTAAAAGATGAGTTATGGCCGGGCGCGGTGGCTCACACCTGTAACCCCAGCACTTTGGGAGGCCAATGTGGGCAGATCACCTGAGGTCAGGAGCTGGAGACCAACGTGGCCAACATGATAGGGCCCCGTCTCTACTAAAAATACAAAAATTAGCTGGGCATGGTGGCAGACACCGGTAATCCCAGCTACTGAGGAGCCTGAGGCAGGAGAATCGCTTGAACCCGGAAGGCGGAGGTTGCAGTGAGCCAAGATCATGCCACTGCACTCCAGCCTGGAGGACAGAGCAAGACTCCATCTGAAAAAAAAAGAAAGAGAGAGGGGAGGGGAGGGGAGGGGAGGGGAGGGAGGGCAGGGGAAGGGGGGAGGGGAGGGGAGAGGGGAGGGGAGAGGAGGGGAGGGGGGAGGGGAGGGGGGGGGAGGGCTCTCTGGATGTCTGGGTGGACACAATGCCAAGGATACCTGGTTGGATGAGTAGACTGTGGGTCTGTTTAAACCCCACTTGCCTTCTTGACCAGGGGCCTTTGTGCAGTGAACAACCTACACAACCCCTCAGGGCATCCCTGTTATCTACCCTAAAGCCATTTCCCTTTTTCTCCTTGGTAACACGTAATTTTCTGCAAGCTGCATGTCCTTCAGAAGCGGCTGATCAACTTCCCAGCTGCAGAATCTGAGGTTAAACTAATCCCAGAAGTCTCATTTCTTTTGCCTCCTATCGGGTCACATGGGTATGTGATGATTCCTACCAATCGGAGTTGGGAGAAGTTGCTGGAAGGCTTAGGAAGGTTTCATTCATTCTTCAAAAGGGACCAAGATAAGAACGAGCCTCTTTCTGCTGTTTCTGAAAGGAATTATCTGTATGTGATGGCTGGATGTGTAGCAGCCCTTTTGGGACCATGAGACGATCCAGCTAAGAAATGGTAGCACAGCATATGAAGATGGATGGAGCTCAGGTGACTGATGACTTTGTGGATCTGCCAAATTAACTGACCCTGGAGCTGGGCCACTTCTGGTCTTGTGTGATACGTATGATTATGGTCTTTGAACCCGTTCACTTCTCTTCTCTCTTTCTTTCTTTTTTCTTTTCTTTTTTTTTTTTTTTTTTTGGTGGAGTCTCACTCTGTCACCCAGGCTAGAGTGCAGTGGTACCATCTCGGCTCACTGCAACCTCCGCCTCCTGGGTTCAAGCGATTCTTTTGCCTCAGCCTCCTGAATAGCTGGGATTACAGGCGTGCCCCGCCACGCCCCGCTAATTTTTGTATTTTTAGTCGAGATGGGGTTTCACCATGTTGGTCAGGCTGGTCTTGAACTCCTGACCTCAAGTGATCCACTCGCCTCAGTCTCCCAAAGTGCTGGAATTACAGGCGTGAGCCACCGCGGCTGACCACACAAATTCTAGATAAAGCTCCTTCCTCATCACTACAAAAGTATATCCTTTCACTAAGTCCAACACAGAATGCTGGACTTGATGACTCAAAGACACATCACAAGCTCTGGCTACAAGGTGCACAAGTTCTGGCCAATTTCAGACTCTCACACTCATGAGCTGTGTGATTTTGGGCAAGTGACATCACCTCTCTGAGTATTAAAACAGTGTCTGGCACATATACACAGGCAGTAAGTGTTTGCTATTGTCACCCACAAAGCAAAGAACGCTGTTCATTATAGGCTCTGGGTGAAGAACCCGGGTTTCCCACTTTTCATATTGGGTGTATTGATAGTGGTCAAATTTAGCATTTAAACCACAGATCATAGAACAGGAGGGTAGCTGGGCACAGTGACTCACGCCTGTAATCCCAGAACTTTGGGAAGCCGACGTGGGTGGATCACCTGAGGTTAGCAGTTCGAGACCAGTCTGGTCAACATAGCAAAACCCCGTCTCTACTAAAAATAGAAAAATTAGCTGGGTGTGGTGGCGCGCACCTATAATCCCAGCTACTGGGGAGGTTGAGGCGGGAGAATCGCTTGATCATGGAAGGCAGAGATTGCAGTCAGTGAGCCAAGATCACGCCACTGCACTCCAGTCTGGGCGACAGAGTGAAACTCCATCTAAAAACAAAACAAAACAAGACCAAAAACCCACCCAGGTTTCCCTGTTTCTTTAGGCCTTCATTTCTGAAGGCTCCCATGTCATGTAACACTTGCCTTAAATACACTTGTTATGCTTGTGTCTTGTTAACCTTTTACGGTAGGTGCCCAGCTGCAAACTTTGTGATAGGTGAGGAAAAGATGCTACTTTTTCTCGCCGAAAGAAGGAAGGAAGGAAGGAAGGAAGGAAGGAAGGAAGGAAGGAAGGAAAAGATGCTACTTTTTCCCCCCAAAGAATAGGTGGCAGAAGAAGTAAGCAGTGGTAATAATAGTAATAGTAATAGTAAGTAAGATGCCTGCAGGAAGAAAAAGAGAAGAGCCTCACAGAGGCTGATTCAATTTGTGAGATGTAATTTGAGGTTTGCGAGATGCTGTCTGCATGGCAAGAGACTAAACCTTGCAAGGCTGGGTGGATGTCCTTTATCTGAAAACCCACCATCCTTAAGAAATCAACATTGAGCGTGAAGGAAGGAAGGAAGGAAGGAAGGAAGGAAGGAAGGAAGGAAGGAAGGAAGGAAGGAAGGAAGGAAAGAGCCTGCAGGGAGAGAAGGAAGAGGTAGGGAGGCCTCACAGAGCTAGCTGCACTGTGAGATTGTGAATTTTTGAGGTTTGGCGAGATGCCCTGCACGGCGTGATCAGGCACCTCTTACGTGCTGTGTGACTTTAACCCAGGGCTTTTACCTCTCTGGTAAAAGCCTGTCATCCCAACGCTTTGGGAGGCCAAGGTAGGTGTTTCATTGTCCTTGTCTGTCCATCAACAGTGGGTTGCGGGGAGGGATAAAAACAACACGTCCCCAGAGGTTGCAGTGAGCTGAGATCGCACCATTGCACTCCAGCCTGAGTGACACAGTGAGACTCTGTCTCAAAAAAAAAAAAAAAAAAAAAAAAAAAAAGCCAGGTACAGTGGCTCTTGCCTGTAATCCCAGCACTTTGGGAGGCTGAGGCAGGTGGATCACCTGAGGTCAGGAGTTCGAGACCAGTCTGACTAATATGGTGAAACCCTGTTTCTACTAAATACAAAAAATTAGCCAGGCGTGGTGGCTCATGGCTGTAATTCCAGCTACTCGGGAGGCTGAGGAAGGAGGATTGCTTGAACCTGGGAGGGAGAGGTTGTGGTGAGCCAAGATTGTGCCACTGCACTCCAGCCTGGGGAACAAGAGCAAAACTCCGTCTCAAAAAAAAAAAAAAAAGAAGGCCGGGCTCGGTGGCTCAAGCCTGTAATCCCAGCACTTTGGGAGGCGGAGACGGGCGGATCACAAGGTCAGGAGATCGAGACCATGCTGGCTAACATGGTGAAACCCCGTCTCTACTAAAAAAATACAAAAAACTAGCCGGGTGAGGTGGCGGGCGCCTGTAGTCCCAGCTACTCGGGAGGCTGAGGCAGGAGAATGGCGTAAACCTGGGAGGCGGAGCTTGCAGTGAGCTGGGATCCGGCCACTGCACTCCTGCCCGGGGGACAGAGTGAGACTCCGTCTCAAAAAAAAAAAAAACTGTTTTAACAACAGCCCTGTCCAGGCGTGGTAGCTCACACCTGTAATCCCAGTCCTTTGGGAGGCCAAGGTGGGCAAATCACTGAAGCTCAGGAGTTCAAGACCAGCCTGCACAACATGGTGAAACCCTGTCCTTACAAAAAATAAAAAACAAAAATTCGATGACAGTGCTGGCATGCATCTGTAGTACCGGCTACTCAGGAGGCTGAGAAGGGGGGAGGATCACCTGAGATCGGGGAGGTTGAGGCTGCAGTAAGCCAAGCTCCTGCCACTACATTCCAGTCTGGGCAACAGAGCGAGTTCCTGTTCCCAAAAAACCCCAAAGCAACAACAACAAAAAACCCAACAACCTTGCAAGTAGGTGATACTGTGTCCATTTCACAGCAAAGGAAACTGAGGCTCAGAGACTGGCCCAGGGCCCCGAGGCTGAGAGGAGCTCAGGTGAGCGAGGGGATGGCCCAGGGATGTGGCGGGGCTGAGGAGGGTGCTGAGATGGCAGGGGGAGATTGGAAAAGCAGCTACCAGGGGCCCGCGAGGAAATCTTGAGACATGCCAACAGCTGGAGGGTGATCCAGGGCTGTGCGGTTTCTGATAGAGGAGCTTGGGTATTCCCCAGTCCTCTGAGGTCAGGAAGTCCATCTTGTTATCTGCCCTGAGGCATCACACACCTCAGGCTGGGCCATAGGGGCAGAGGAGAGAGGGAGGTCAAGGTCCCTTCCTCCATCCGGGCGCCCTGGGGGGTCTTCCCTTGGAAGATGGCAGTTAGGATGCCAGAACAGAAAGGGGCCCCAATTTCAAAGCAGAAGCCCGGCCTCCAATTCCCTCAGAGGAATGGGGTCACTAATATCTGCAGGTCACTTCCTTTTTTTTTTTTTTTTTTTTTTGAGATGGAGTCTCACTCTGTCGCCCAGGCTAGAGTGCAGTGGTGCGATCTTGGATCACTACAACCTCCAACCTCTGCTTCCCTGGTTCAAGCAATTCTCATGCCTTAGCCTCCCTAGTAGCTGGGATTACAGGCACGCGCCATCAGGCCCGGCTAATTTTTGTATTTTTAGTAGAGACGGGGTTTCACCATGTTGGTCAGTCTGGTCTCCAACTCCTGACCTCAAGTGATCCGCCTGTCTCAGCCTCCCAAAGTGCCGGGATTACAGGCGTGAACCACCATGCCCAGCCTGAATCACTTCTTTTGATTCTCTCTGTCCCGTCCACATCTTTTTTTTTTTTTTTGAAACAGAGTTTCGCTGTTGTTGCCCAGGTTGGAGTGCAATGGCAGGTGATCTCGGCTCACTGCAATCTCCGCCTCCCGAGTTCAAGCGATTCTCCTGTCTCAGCCTCCCGAGTAGCTGGGATTACATGCGCATGCCACCACACCGGGCTGATTTTTGTATTTTTTTAGTAGAAACAGGGTTTTATCATACTGGTCAGGCTGGTCTTGAAATCCCGACCTCAGGTGATCCGTCCGCCTCGCCTTGGCCTCCCAGAGTGCGTCAGCCACCACGCCCAGCCCCATCCACGTCTTTCTATTCCAGCCCGACCTCCTCCTCTCCCCTCTGTACCCTTTACCCAGCACTGGCCCGGCCCCTCCCCAGCTCATAGCACCTGCAGGGCTCCCCATGCCCCTTAAGACAGAATCCCAGCCTCTGGCCTGGCCCCGCACACCCCTCCGGCTTTGCCACCAGTTGTTCCTGTGAAATAACCCAGCTCTCCGCTCACCCGGGGCCCCATCCTGTCCCCCAGCTCTGAAAGCCTTTCTCTACCCCTAACCGCCCCCGGCCCCGGCCAGCTCAGTGCGTCCTGCTCAGTCGCACCCCGCCGCTAGAGCCCGCTGTCTTTCCGCACCTCCCCAGGATTCGCAGATTCCCGACATTATCACTTCCACTCTGGGAAGGAGAAGGGAGCTTCAGACAATAATGTAGGGCCATCCCTTGGAAACCGCACCTTTATTCTCTGCCCAGAACAGAAGCGGTAATTCAGAGCAGGATTAGGGAGTGCAGGAGGGACGGAGCCGCCTCCCTGGGCCAGGGCAGCGCTCGGAGGTAAGACCGGCTGCTTGGGTTCTGCGAAGCCTCTGAGGAGCCCCAGGGTCTGAGGGAGCAGGCCCCACGGTGGAGACAGGAAAGCCGGGTGGCCACCGGCTGTGTGCGAGCCATCTGCACCTTTACTGCCAGGGTGGTTCCTAGAAACTGCTGAGGGGAGGGAGGCAAGGAAGGACCTGGTGGCCCAGGGTGGAGAAGGGGAGGGAGGTGGTGGCGGTTGGAGCTCTAGAAACAGATCCACCTGGAAGGAAGTGGGGAGGGAGCTAAGGAGGGTGGCTGGCTGGGGAGGGGGTCCTGGCTGCCGAGGGAGGGACCCTCCTCTCCTGGAGGTCCTGAGTTGGGGGTGCATCCCAGAGGGCACCAGAGACCCACGAGGGCACGGCGGGTCCACTTCCCCAATCCCCTGCTCTCCACCTGGGCGTGTGTGCACAGGTGTGCATGTTGTAGGGTGGGAGAGGAGCCCCTCACCTTCTCTCACCTGGTCCTTTTGAAGGAATCCGAGACAGGGTGGCTTGGCAGGCAGCTCAGTGCTCCCTCTGGGTCTCTCTTTACTCAGGGCCAAAGAAACCCTGCCAGCATCCGTGACTGGCAAACCCCACCCAGGATTTACAAGGCTTTCCAGAGCAGGTGTGGCTGGGCTGTGGGAGGGAGGTGAGCCCGTAGTCCCTCCTCCTTCCTCAGTGCCTGCCAGGCAGTCCATCTTGTTATCTGCCTTTAGCTCCTCCACCTGCATAAGGCACCCCAAGTCTGGCCATAAGAGTCGGGGAGAGAGGTAGGTCAAGGCTGCATCCCCCATCTGGGTCCCCTGGGGGTCTTCCTTGGGGAACTGTGGTAGGATGCCCTGAACAGAAACGGGCCCCCACTCTGCTTCCCTCCTCCAGGCGGCCAGGAAGGCCTCCAGGAAGGCAGCATGGAGGTGGAGGACAGAGTCCAGCTAGGCCAGGCTCTCGCTGACTCTGAGTCCCCCCAGAGTCCTATATTTATTTATTAATTATTAGTAGTATTACTTTTTGAGAGAGTTTTGCTCTTGTTGCCCAGGCTGGAGTGCAGTGGCGTGATCTCAGCTCACTGCAACTGCCACCTCACAAGTTCAAGCAATTCTCCTGCCTCAGCTTCCCAAAGTTCTGGGATTACAGGCATGAGCCACCGCACCCTGCCTATTTAAATATTTTTTAGAAATAGAAATGGGCCCAGTGTGGTGACTCACGCCTGTAATCCCAGCCCTTTGGGAGGCCGAAGCGGGCGGATCAACTGAGGTCAGGAGTTTGAGACCAGTCTGGCCAACATGGTGAAACCCTGTCTCTACTAAAAATGCAAAAATTAGCGGGGTGTGGTGGCGTGCACCTGTAATCTCAGCTACTTGGGAGGCTGAGGCAGGAGAATTGCTTGAACTTGGGAGACAGAGGTTGCAGTAAGCTGAGATCACGCCATTGCACTCCAGCCTGGGAAACAAGAGCAAAACTCTGTCTCAAAAAAAAAAAAAAAAGATGGATGAGGAATTTTACTGAGAGAAGAGGCAGGCACCACCAGAGCTCCCAGCAGTCCTAACAGGAGGAAATAAAAACCAGCAGCCACTCTCCAGCTTCAGCTGCTAAGCAGCAGGAGGTTAACTACCAGTTAAAAGTTTAAAGGTGGCCAGGGCGGTGGCTCATGCCTGTAATCCCAGCATGTTGGGAGGCCGAGGAGGGTGGATCACAAGGTCAGGAGATCGAGACCATCGTGGCTAACACGGTGAAACCCCGTCGCTACTAAAAATACAAAAAAATTAGCCGGGCGTGGCGGCGGGCGCCTGTGGTCCCAGCTACTTGGGAGGATGAGGCAGGAGAATGGCGTGAACCCGGGAGGCAGAGTTTGCAGTGAGCCAAGAGATTGCGCCACTGCACTCCAGCCTGGGCAACAGAGCAAGACTCCATCTCAAAAAAAAAAAAAAGTTTTAAAGGTTTAAAATTTAAAGGAGCTCCCTTTAAAAAAAAAAAAAATTCAGATCAAGCTTCTCACTCTAACCACCAGTTTGCAGAAAACAGGAGGATAAAGTTGCCAGTGAAACGACACCATGAGGCAGCAATCAGCCCAGTCCAGAATGTGAGCCCGTCTACAGGACAAATGACATATTTCCCTGTGATTCAGCAACAAGGAAAAAAGAAACAGGGTGGGGCAGGGGAGTGGGGAGGTGAGCTGTCATAAAATACACAAAACAGATTTGGGGCTCAGAGGCTTAGAAACAGACTTTCCACCTCCGTGAATGTCCCACAGATGTTCCAAAGTCATGGGAATGAGCTGGGCGCGGTGGCTCACGCCTGTAATCCCAACACTTTGGGAGGCCGAGGCAGGAGGATCACCTGAGGTCAGGAGTTTGAGACCAGCCTAGCCAACATTTTTTTGTTTTTGTTTTTGTTTTTAGTGAAACTCCATCTCTACTAAAAATACAAAATTAGCTGGGCATGGTCGTGCACGCCTGTAATCCCAGCTACTCAGGAGGCTAAGGGAGGAGAATCCTTGAACCTGGGAGGCAGAGGTTGCAGTGAGCCTAGATGGCGCCACTGCACTCCAGCCTGGGTGACAGAGCCAGACTCTGTCTCAAAAATAAAACAAAGTCCTGAGAATGCAGGAAAAACCTTCATTGCCTAACTTTTATTGTCGCTGACCCCAGCCGCCTAAACGCTTTGGTAGCATCCTAGGACCTCCACTGTGACAACTAAAAACAACCCCCACAGATTCCCAAAACTCCCCCAGGGGGACAGCACTCCAGAATTCAGGACTGCTGCCCTAAACCCTCTGTTTTCCATTTCAGCTTTCCATTACAGGTGCGTGCCCCCATGCTTGGCCACCACGGCCAATTTCAAGCTACCAATATGAGATCATTGAACATGGAAGTGGAAAGAAATGCACAGTACTACATTGTTCTATAGTAAGCCTTCTTACTATGGTAAACACTTACCAGCCAGTTCTCTGGAGAAAAAAACACACTGCATGGTAGTATCTGCTAATTTGTGTGCCAATGTATATGCTCACTGCAACCTCCGCCTCCTGGGATCAAGCGATTCTCCTGCCTTGGCTTCCTGAGTAGCTGGGACTACAGGTGCCTGCCACCGCACTCAGCTAATTTTGTATTTTTTGGTAGAGATGGGGTCTCACTATGTTACCCAGGCTGGCCTTGAACTCCTGAGCTCAGTGATCCTCCTACCTCAGCCTCCCAAAGGGCTGGGATTACAGGTGTGAACCATCTTGCCTGGTCTATTTACATTTATTATGTCTGTGTAATAGACTTACTATAGAACAATGTAATACTGTGCATTTCTTTCCAATTGCATCTTCAATGATCTCATATTGGTAGCTTGAAATTGACCGTGGTGGCCAGGCATGGGGGCGTGCACCTGTAATCCCAGCTACTCAGGAGCCTGAGTCAGGAGCATAGCTTGAAGCCAGAAGTTAAGTACCAGCCTTGGCAACATAGCAAGACCTTGTCTCTCTACAAAAAATAAAGAAAATTAGCCAGACGTGGTGGCACATGCCTGTAGTCCCAGCTACCTGGGAGGCTGAGGCAAGAGGAGCCCAGGAGGTCCAGAGTCAGCTAAGATCCTCACATTGCACTCTAGCCTAAGTGACAGAGAAAGACCCTGCCTCTGAAAAATTAAAAGATAAATCTGGGCCGAGCGCGGTGGCTCACGCCTGTAATCCCAGCACTTTGGGAGGCCGAGGCGGACGGATCACAAGGTCAGGAGATCGAGACCACGGTGAAACCCCGTCTCTACTAAAAATACAAAAAATCAGCCAGGTGTGGTGGCGGGCACCTGTAGTCCCAGCTACTCAGGAGGCTGAGGCAGGAGAATGGCATAAACCTGGGAGGCGGAGCTTGCAGTGAGCCGAGATCGCGCCATTGCACTCCAGCCTGGGCGACAGAGCGAGACTCTGTCTCAAAAAAAAAAAAAAAAAAAAAAAAAATATGGGTATAGTGGTTCACGCCTGTAATCCCAGCACTTTGGGAAGCCGAGGCAGGCGGACTGCTTGAGACCAGGAGTTTGAGACCAGCCTGGGCTAACATGCTGTAACCCAGTCTCTACTAAAAATACAAAAATTACCTGGGTGTGGTGTACACACCTGTAGTCCCAGCTACTCGGGAAGCTGAGGCACGAGAATCGCTTGAACCTGGGAGATGGAGGTTGCAGTGAGCCGAGATCACGCCACTGCACTCCAGCCTGGATGACACAATGAGACTCTGTCTCAAGAAAAAAAAAAAAAAGTTTATTCAAACACAAATATGTGAGGGTGGCTGTCCAGGGACACAGGAACAGGAATTACATACGCCTGTAATCCCAGTACTTTGGGAGGCTGAGGCGGGCGGATCACGAGGTCAGGAGATGGAGACCATTCTGGCTAACACGGTGAAAGCCCGTCTCTACTAAAAATCTTTTTTAAAATGTTTAAATTAGCTGGGCGTAGTGATGGGCGCCTGCAGTCCCAGCTACTCAGGAGGCTGAGGCAGGAGAATGGTGTAAACTCGAGAGTCGGAGCTTGCAGTGAGCTGAGATCGCGCCACTGTACTCTAGCCTGGGCGACAGAGTGAGCCTCCGTCTAAAAAAAAAAAAAAAAAAAAAAAAAGATTGCTCACTACTGACTACTACTAAGGGATTTCTTAATATTCTACTGTAAAGAGGTAACAATCACAAGGGTTGGCCTCCAATGTCATTTAATCTAGGTTTGAATGAAGAATAGAGTATCTGATTAATGTATAACATCTCAATACAAAGGTCAGGAAGCAAGAGTCATACACCAGAGAAAAAACAGCTGTGGCTGGGCATGGTGCCTCACCTCATGCCTATAATCCCACCACTTTGGGAAGCCGAGATGGAAGGAACACTTGAGCTCAGGAGTGCAAGTCCAGCCTGGGCAACCTAGTGAGACCTCGTCTCTACTACAAACAAAGAAAAATCAACCAAGCATAATGGTGCACACCTGTGGTCCCAGCTACTTGGGAGGCTGAGGCTGGAGGATCACTTGAGTTTAGGAGGTCAAGGCTACAATGAGCTGTGATTGTGCCACTGCACTTCGGCCTGGGTGACAGACCCTGTGCCAAAAAAAAAAAAAAAAAAGCCAGGTGTGATGGTGTGCGCCTGTAGTCCCAGCTACTCGGCTGAGGCAGGAGAATCACGTGAACCCAGGAGGCAGAGGTTGCAGTGAGCCAAGATCGTGCAATTGCACTCCAGCCCGGGCGACAGTGTGAGACTCTGTCTCAAAAACTAAAAAAAAAAAAAAGGAATATGAAAAAGATAAAGTTTCCAGAGCTTAACTTTTTCCCTTGGTAAAATGCATTTGGAAAGTCCTGAAATTTTATTTTCTTTTCATGCCGTCCTGCACTTCCCTAAGCCATAATTTCCGTGTCTTGCTTTGACTTGACTTTGCTCTCCTAAGACACCATGGCTCAGAAGGCAAACGAGAGGCTCAAGGTCACAAGGAGAAGGTGGGAAGGTGACACAGAGGCAGGTTTTTGTTTGTTTTTGTGAGACACAGTCTCGCTCTGCAGTCCAGGCTGGAGTGCAGTGGCGCAGTCTCAGCTCACTGCAACCTCCACCTCCCAGATTCTCCTGCC